CTGCTGATTTACAGAGTTCAAATATCAGCAAATTTAATCTCATCCTAATATACACATCCATAGGATTTGGTATGTCGCTAACTTTGTTCCTTAGGTCGTATGCAGTGATTGATTTAGGCCTCAAGTCTTCAAAATCTATTTTTACTAAGTTAATAACCTCAATATTCCGAGCACCAATGTCATTCAACGACTCAACCCCACTTGGAAGAATACTTAGTCGGGTAAGAAACTACGATCTAAGCAAGCCTAACAACAATGCTGGAAAGTTTTTATGGTACTAACATAGTCTTCTTTTGCAGTTGTCTTCAGACCTCAGTGTTTTGGATCTTGACATGTCATTTCGATTCAGTCAAGCCTTGGCCTCAACCTTGACCACATACTTCAGCTTAGGAATATTGGCTGCTCTTACTTGGCCAATCTTGATTGTCATTATACCAACTATTTATATGACAGTGATTTTACAGGTGAGTCTATTAACTACTCATGATTCATTACTAGTCCTTACAATTAAGCTGCAGACGGCGAAAAACTCTATTGACTGCCTACTTAATATTGTAGTCCACTGTTTTATTGTTCTGCACAGAGATTCTATTTTGCTTCAGCAAAGGAACTCATGAGAATTGATGGCACAGCTAAGTCATCTGTTGCTAGCCATCTTGCTGAAGCGATAGCGGGAGCAATGACCATCAGAGCTTTCGAGGAGGAGGATCGTTTTTGCACAGAATATTTGCACCTTGTCGATAGAAATGCCATTGCCTTTTTCCATAGCTTTTCAGCAACCGAGTGGTTGATCCAACGTCTTGAAATACTCTGCGCCATAGTTCTCTCGTCCTCAGCCTTAGCCATGGTCTTGCGTCCCTTCGAAGCTTCTGACTCAGGTAATGAGTTTATTTTATTTTGTTACCTTAACAATCAACAAAACTAGAACAAAATGAAGTTCAGTCCATATACTAAGATTTTGGCTATTTATTTTCAGGATATATTGGCATGGCTCTATCGTATGCTCTTTCGTTAAACGTATTCCTAGTTTCTTCAGTCCAAAACCAATGCATGCTAGAAAATTCCATCATTTCCATAGAAAGATTAGAGCAATACATGCATATTCCTAGCGAACGCCCTGAAATAATAGAAGGCAATAGACCTGCTCCCGGTTGGCCTTCCACTGGTAAAGTGGAGATTGTTGATTTAAAGGTTAGTATCCTAATGCCTTAGTTATTCATCTTCCTTTCTTCTCATAAGTAATATAAAGCTTACAGTATGTATATTTCAGGTCAGATATCAACCCAACGCGCCACTAGTTCTACAAGGCGTTAGCTGCATAATCGAAGGTGGATATAAAGTTGGAATTGTAGGCAGGACAGGTAGTGGCAAAACAACTCTTATAAGTGCCTTGTTTCGCTTGGTAGAGCCAACGGAAGGAATGATCATAATAGATGGCCTAAATATCTCAACAATCGGGATTCATGACCTTCGATCTTCTATATCGATCATTCCACAAGATCCAACACTTTTTAGCGGGACTGTTAGATACAATCTTGATCCTTTATCACAGCATACTGATCAGGAAATATGGGAGGTAACATATTTTGATAACTATCGCCCTTTTACTATATATCAGATTCAACGCTTCTATCCAAACATGTAACTGCTTATTTATAATATCAGTTTCAACGTTCATTTCCTTTGTCATTGGTACAAGGTTTTGGGAAAATGTCAACTTCGAGACGTTGTTCAACAGAAAGAAGGAAGGCTAGACTCCCCAGGTAAGTGAAACAACATAACCTGATAATGTATTGAATCGTCCATGAAACGAAGATTATACTAACGATCAGTAATATATACAGTGGCACAAGATGGATCAAATTGGAGCATGGGACAAAGACAATTGTTCTGTCTAGGAAGAGCATTGTTGAAACGAAGGAAAATACTAGTGCTTGACGAAGCCACTGCATCAATTGATAATGCAACAGATTCCATAATACAGAAAACAATAAGGACAGAATTTGAGGACTGCACAGTCATAACAGTGGCTCATAGAATCCCAACTGTTATGGACTGCACTATGATTCTTGCTATAAGTGATGGTAAGGTTCAAGAAAATAATTCCAAATTTCGGGTGTGCTTGGTACGACGAAAGTCATTTTCGAAAAAATTATTTTCACGAGCAAGTCATTTTGTAGTGTTTGGTTAACTTCTCTCACTTTTGGGCAGAAGCATTTTCTGTCAAAACTGTCTCAACTCTTAACTTCGTGTTGTATATAATACACCCTTGTGGTCTGGCCCTTCCCCGAACCTCGCGCATAACCGGAGTTTAGTGCACCGGGCTACCTTTTTTTATTGTCAGTCTTTATTACTCAAAAATTTCATCAAATCTCTAATTTGCTAATATTATTACAATTTTTTAAATTTTTATATCTTTTTTGGGAAATATCTCGCACTCACCAACCTAATATTGGAAAATATCTTTTTTTTAAATGAAAAATGACTTCCGTCGCATCTAACACACTATTCATTAAAGAATGTTATATATTGTTTCATGTGAATTTACAAAAATATTGAAATGTTTAATTACATTTTTTTTTTTACAGGGAAGCTGGTAGAATATGATGAACCAATGAATCTTGTGAATAAGGAAAGTTCATTATTTAGGCAGCTTGTTAATGAATACTGGTCACATTCTCAAGAGTCAATATGAGTATGGAATGGAACTCATGAATATGGATTTAAGTTATATATACGATGTAAATAAATTTTACATTTATCAGTGTTGTTAGCCGCTTATAGCTTGTTAATTATCTGTTTTTCGAGTTATTAATTCATACCTACTGGGCGTTAATTTACCATTAGCTTTTAACTAAAATAGTGTAAAAATTCTTTACGTTGTGTAAAGACATGGATTTGAATATCTCTTCAGTTTACTTTCAAAATTTAGCTACGTAATCATAGGCAAAATATGGTGAAAATCCAAAAGGTTGTACATGCTTATATAATATATCGTATCATCATATATATATATATATACCATGTTATAAGCATGAAGTCCCAAGTCAAAGATCGAAAGACCAAAATACCCATTAAAAATTGAATGTCCTTTTTAACCTTAAAAGTCAATTAAATTCCTACAAGAATTTGTGTGCCTATGAACATCCCACTGTCCTTGAACCCCCTGATCTTTCTTATTTCTCAATAATGTATGGCCTTTATAAAAATATTTGATTTCAATGTATGTATTGTAATTTAAATCCTCAATTGTAAAGAAACAAAAAAGAAAATGATTAAGAATGCCATTTAATATACAACTCTAGATGTGCATATATCTTCGTAACGTGAAATATTTATGGTATATCAAACTAATGGTAGAAAAACATAGGCAAAAATACATAGTTTACCCATCAAACTTGCAGCGAAATCCCTGTTACACATCTATCTTTTACGGGAAACCTTTTACACACTCAACTTTTCAAAAGTGTGTCTAAGACAAACCACTTTTGTGCTTGACCAATTTTTCAGATAACGTGAAATTCACGCCCTAATAGGGTCGCGACACGTGTCATTGACTTTAAAAAAGAAAAAATATATTAGAAATTAAAATTAAAATCCATCTGTTTCATCTTTCCATTTTCTATCTTAAGCACCATTGTTGCTACCACCATGGTTGTTTGTGAGAAAGTTTCCAACAATACCAAAATTCAACTACACTATCTAAACAACTAGCCAAAAATAATCGAGCAACAAATTGAGTTCAATAAACCCAATAATCAACAAGACCCAATTGAATTTCCAAGTTTTTTTTTCGATACCCCAACAATAGTGGATTCTAGATTTTTTTTCACCAAATCTTCAATACTAATGTTAAGGCTTTTAAATCTATCACAAATAAATAATTTTCACAATATTTAGACAATAAACCAACAAAATCCGCTTAATTTTAGATCTAAATTTGATATATTCTTTCAAAAATTCTTTTTGGTGGAAGAAAATGAGGGAAAGGGTGGTGAGGAAGAAGACCAGAGGGAGGGGAGGGGTTCTTGTGGGAGGGGAGAAAAATATAGGATTTTTTATGGGTTTCACGCGCTTTTTTGTGTGTAAACACGCAAGTGCTATTTGGTCAAAAGTAGTGTGTCTTAGACACACTTTTGGAAGGTTGAGTGTGTAAAAGGTTTCCTGTGAAAGAGAGGTGTGTAATAGGGATTTCGCTGCAAGGTTGATGGGTAAACTGTGTATTTTGCCAAAAACATATATGGTATATCCAAGTGTTTTTGAATTTAGGGACAACCAGATTTAAAAAAAAAAATAAACGTCACGGGAAAGTCAACCTCCAACATAACTTATGACTGGTCTCATTCCCCCCGGTCATGAGATTGTTTTGTTTAGAGAATTAGAGATATGAGAAAAGAGTTAGAAAACATTTGAATAAGGAAAAAATTCCATGTCAACTCGTTTTTTATATGTTCACACGCTAGAAGTGAGACTCAGGTTTTGTGCCATGTCAGCGTCGAATAGGTACACTTCTGTCAATTTGATGAATTCAAGCAATGTCAGTTGAATGGAGAGATTGCGTGTGAGTCGAAGAAGAAGCTGGGAATGAAACTTCACTATTCCATTAAGTAAAATGATACTCAATTGTACACAACTAACCGACTAACAACTATTTATACTAACTAATATCTAACTCAACCGTAGTTACTATTATGTACCCTAGTTAGCCAACTATGATTCCATTAAATAACAAACTAACTCTAACTACTACCCTATATCAGTTACTCCTCAACACTCCCTCCCTTCAAGCTAGGTCTAATGAAAATATTCTTTAGGTTGGATAGCAAATGATCATATTGAAAACTACTTAACCCCTTGGTCAAGATGTCAGCAGGGTGATCCACGTATGACAAATACCCAGTCTCTACCAACCCTTGTAGCACCTTCTCACGAATGAAATGACAATCTATATTGTATTTAGTCTTCTCGTGAAAAAATGGGTCTGCAGCAATTTGCATAGCTTATTTACTATCACAATAGAGTGGAGCAGGCAGAGTGAGAGAGATACCCAATTCAGTGAACAAATCAACCAACCCCATAATCTCTGCCACTGTTGAAGCTAAGCTCTTATACTCAGCTTCAGCTGAACTATGAGCAATAGTGTTTTGCTTCTTGGATTTCTAAGAGATGAGAGCACCAAGTATAACCAGATAGCCAGTTACAGACTTTCTGGTATTTGGTCAAGAGGGCCAATCAGCATCACAGTAGGCTTGCAACTTGGTAGAACCTGTAGACGACATAAGAAGCCCTAGACCTGGATTCTTCTTCAAGATCAACTTAAGGCAGCTTCCAAGTGTGAAGTATTGAGAGCATGCATGAATTGGCTCAAACATTGTACTGTAAAAGATATATCCGACCTAGTAATTTTTAAGTAAAGCAACCTACCAATCAATCTCTGGTAGGCTCCAGGATCTGCGAGCAATGAATCATTTTCAACACCAAATTGGTGATCAAATTCAGATATGGTCAGCTTTTGATTTACCTCAATAGGAGCCCCTACAAGCTTGGCTCCTATCAAACCAACATCAGAGATAAACTCAAGAGAATACTTTCTTTGATGTAACAAGATTATTTCCTTACTCATTGCAAACTCAGTGCCTAGAAAATATTTTAGCTCTCATAAATCCTTTATTTTGAAACTCTAATGAAGTATATCTTTAGTGTCTGATATGATTGCAACATCATCTCCAGTGATGAGTAAGTCATCCATGTATACCAAAATAATGACTATTCTCTCATTAAGTTGTTTGGTGAACAACGAATAATCAAAGTGACTTTGTTTGAAGCCTGATCGAAGAAGAGTAGTAGTCAACTTGATATTCCACTGGGTGAGGCCTGCTTAAGCCCATAAAGGGACTTGTGCAGTCGACAAACCTGTACTTTACCTGCTGAATGTGAGAAGCCCCGTGACAAATGTATATATACTTCCTCCTCTAAATCACCTTGCAAGAAAGCATTGTACACGTTCATTTTTTGCAAGACCCAACCCTTTGCAGTTGCAATAGCAATAACAGATCTAAGAGTGACCATTTTTACCACATGTGAAAATGTTTTCCGGTAATTCAAGTCTTCCTTCTGACTATAACCTTTAGTCACGAATCGAGCCTTGAACCTTTCTATATTTCCAAAAGCCGTATACTTGATCTTATAGACCTATTTGCAACCAATTGTCTTCTTGTCAGGAGGCCATGTCACAAATTTGCATGCGTGATTGTCTTCTAAAGCTTGAATCTCTACCTCCATGGCCTCAACCCACCTTACATCCTTAGCTGCTTCATGATAGGATCTAATAGCCCGAAATATCTATTTTATATATTTTTTGTATAATGATAGTCTGTTTTATATATTTTTTGTATAGTGGCAGTCTATTTTGTATATTTTTGTATAGTGACAATCCATTTTGTATATATTTTGTATAGTGGCTGTCACTCCCCCTTTTTCCTCGCAGATTCCGGGTTTTGACATTCATTGGGAACAACTCGTTTCCTTTTGGGATTTGAATATTTGAATTTGAAGAGTCGCCACCTAACGAATTATGGTGCGTTAGGGCACCTAGAATGATTAACTCGTGTAACTAATTTGCATTACCAAAGATTAGGGTAAGGACTCGAAATAACCTTGAGGGGAAGGTGTTAGGCACCCCTCGCGGTCCACAACGGTGGGTCCTGGCTGAACTTAAACTATGTGCATTAGTCATTTTAATGAGTAAACAATTTCAACATATATTTGCAAATAAAGTCATGTTTTCACATTCTAAACACATGTATGATTTAGGTAATGGGAGCAAGGGAGAGGTTTGAACAACTTGCATATATATGTGAAGAAAAAGGAAGTTCATTTAAACACATAGGAATTGGGAAAGAGGGGTCCTAGATTGGTTAGCCTGCAGGATCATACCCATGCAATGTCCGGTAATCACTCCTCGATGAGGGGCTACACGTGACATTAACGCGTAGTCATCATATCCTTACTACCCAATTCCCTCCCCTTGGTCATAGCCTAAAGCGTTCTAGCAGCCTTAAAAGATATCATATGTGTGCACTACCCGTCCCTTCCTTGTGGCCCTGAGGTATTTAGGACCTCTAATTAGGGTAGTTCTAGACTATCCTAAGGTACTTTAAAGGAGAAAAATCTAGGCGACAACCAAAAAAATAATTAGGACTGGACCAAAGATGGAACAACTAAAGGCTCAAATTTCACCTCCACAAACAGAGCAAGCAAGTGCACGTATCAAATACAGTTTTAGGTATTTAAAAGAAGCCTTAGAACAGGATATTTATGTCAGCAGAGAATATGCAATGTTGAGTTAGGATGCCAAAGACCTATTCAGTTTGCGTATTGATTTTAGACCTGTTGAATATGAGCAGTCACAGATAATAGAGCGTAGTTTTACAGTTTCAGGATTTTCAATTGCCCTATAGGTTTGCCTAGGCATGTAATAGTGATGTCCTATGAGCAACCTATCTAATCATTAATGAGGAATGCAATGAGACAATAAACAATTTTAAACGGGCAATTGGAATCCTATAGGCATGCTTTCTAGTAATATTAATTAATGCGGCGTTGAAGACTATTAAAGAAACGAATAGGTTAGTTAATCTGATTCAGAACTTACAGGCGTGAGTTAAAGTTAAACTGATTTTAGATCTAACTAAACTGGTTTTAGATCCTATAGGCATGATTTCTGTAATTAAAGCTGATTTTAGATCCTATAGGAATGATTTCTAATTATGTAAAGCAAAGCAAGCAGAATTTATTTGAACCAAAGCAAAATCCTATAGGCATATTATCTAACAAAACACATTTGAACCCTATAGGCATGTTATCTAACAAAACACATTTGAACTAAATGAATCCTATAGGTATGTTATCTACCCAACTTTACCCATAGTATACAACTACCCTCTCTTTTCACTAGTCACCCGAATATTTGTTTACAATAAATTATTATAGATCAAAGATTGAATAAATTACATAAATAGAACAGAAATTAAGCTATAGGGAGCCTGAAATAGGCCCAAAGTAATTTCCAAGACTTCACTATCCTCAAATGCCCAAAGTTTACATAGCCAATTTCATGTCTAGGTGTGTCATAGTTCCCTAAGGACCTCAAAGATTCCGGGCAGTGCTCACACCCAGACCTTTCTCAAATAAGGACTGATTTAGGTACAGTGTGGAAGTGCCAGCCCTGATATGCCAGAGTTCAGAGAGATCTCAAGGGTCTATAAGCAGTACACATACAAGAGGGGCATGACTTAGTAATCTAAAAGTAAGTGAGAGTGTTTGACAGGATTTGAGAGAGTTTTGGTAAACAACATAAAGAAAGGTCTTAGGAGGGAAAAGATTTTCTGAAAACCAGTACTAATTTAGTGATAAAAATAGTTTGAGAAAGTATGAAAAATAATTTGTACCCAGAACACAAGCCATTAAACAAACAGCTTTGGAAAATACTTTGACAAACAGTTTCCACACAAGGAAAGAGGGTTTGGGAACACATAGAATACATCTTAATGGAGCACATAAACAACAGGATACATAGAGCTCTCAAGGGGTTCTACAGAACTAATAGGTTAGATAGAATGCAAGTCATTGAAACATGAAGCTAGGAGCACAACAGAAACATGTTGAGGACATATAAACAACACAACTACCGTTACCCTAGAGAGACTAGATAACTTAGCTGGAGTAAGGCAGAACAGACAAGGACTTAAATGAACATGCTAGGCAAGTATTAACAAGTGTAGGCATGCTAATTACACAAAGGCAAAGTTTAGGCATGCTAGATGAACAGTATTTAGTCAAACGGGCTAGTTACACATGCAAGACATGTTAAATAAGATAGTAAACAGACAAGTAAAGTGAAAACCTGCTAACTACATATTCGAATAAGGCAAAATTTGGCATGCTAGGTAAGTAGTAAACAGAAGCAGGAATGAACTCCGGATTGATTAACTAAGGTAGTAAATAAATACATAGGTTTGGATTCTAAAATTTAATCAGAAGCATACCAGTTAGAGAAAGAAAACACAAGATGTAAGAACAATGTTGCATAATTTCCAGCCTTGACTTGCAGCCAGCTAGAATAACAAAGATCACAAGTAGCAGAGAGAGAAGAAAGAGCTTTTCAGAGTGTAAAAGTAGTGGTTTTTTGAACTGATGTTCGTGTCTTAGAAGTTAAAATAAGAGAGTTTATATAGTAGTTCAAGAGTAGATCAAATAAGGCAGAGTAATCAATGATCAACAATTAAAGGATTTCAGAATTAATCACACAAAGATACACAAAGATTCAACATGGTCTTCTCCTTTAATTAAGGAAAATCAACCAACGGTAATGACAGGAACTAATTAAGGCAAGAGGCTCAATTAGACTGAGTAAAGAAGTAAGAATCAGATGTCTTGTTAAGGAAAGAAGTTCAAATCAAACCAAAAATAAAGAACTTCAGAATACAATAGTCGAGAGTTTAATTACGGAGAGAATCACGTAAAGAATCAGCAAGTATCGCGGACAATTCAAATAAGGCAAGAAAGGAATAGTCAGGACTCAACACATAGGTCTTAACGAAGCAAATTGGTAAATAAAGAATTCAAAACAACACTGATTTAAGGAGAAAAATAAAGGTTTACCATAAATAGGCAAAAAATGAATATAGACACATAGAATCAGTAGAAAAGTCGAAACAAGAACCTTAGTAGAGGCATATTAGGAGAAAAAATCACAAGACATCGAATTAGGCTAAAGAAAAATCAAAGTAACCAAAGCATAGGACAAAGTCGGTACACAAGTAACTTAGAAACCAAACAAAATGTCGAAAAATTGGGGTTTTTTTAGCATAAACTAGTTAGGGTTAAAACAAACTTGACGAAATCGGTTAAAAATACATAAGAATAGGAGAATAAATACTCAAAATTAGCAAAACGTTTTAGAGAAGAAATTTTCGGGAAACCCTAGTTTAAAAAAATGGAAAACTATTCAAAAATCAGAAGGCTTTCATAAATCGGTGAAATAAGTCCAAACCATATACAGATTTGAGAAGTTTAAAGGAAGAAATTAGGGTTTCGAGAAGAGCAACACAGAGATGAAGAAGTAGGCTTAGAAATCCATAGGTTTAAAGCGAAATAGGAAGATCTTACTCGAAATCGAACCGGAACAACCTCAAACAGGCAAGAAAGGGCCATAGGTGTAAGTGGACTGACCCTAGTCCCTCGAGGACCTTAGAGATGACAATACCAACAAAGGAGAGGCCATTAGAGGTCGGCTGGTAGTGAGAAACAACGACAATAGATGAGTGGCGATGAGGGTGAATTAGGGTTAGGTTTTTTAGAGTATTTGAGAGAAGAGAGGAATAGATGACGGCAGTGAGAGGAGAGGAAATGAGGGGTCTGGGGGGAGGTCATTAGGGTTTAATTTAGATAAGGGTGAATCTGGACCATTAATAAAAATGATCAACAACCAGGATTTAACAAGAACTGGGTCAGGTAGATATGGGGTTTGGGCTAGGTAGATTTTGGGCCTGGTTTAATTTGAAATTGGGGTTAAAATTGGGCTAGGTATTTAGGCTAAATTTGAAAATAAGGGGGTCATTTGTTAAATACCCTATTTAATTGATAAAACCATTTTTAAAAATAACTAATAGGTTGTAAAAGATGATTTTTATGCCTGAAAATATTTTAAAATAATTACCTAATATTTTAAAAATATAAAAGGTTATTTTTCTGTAAAATAATGTAATAATGCATGCATAGGCTATAATTATAAAGTAATTATAATTGCATTCTAAAAACACAAATGGGGCTATTTGTGCAATAATTGAAAGAGTTTTCGGGTAAAAAAATGGTGGACAATTTTGATCGGATGGGATGTTTTGAAAGATAGAGGCTGGACTCTGGTCTTTGAGCTGCCTACATATCCCTGGTTTTATAGGAATTAGGCTGCGTATAGTTCTGGATTCATTGGCGGAATATACCGATGAAGTCATTATAAGGACGGACACGAGACTTTGGAATAGATGCAGGAGTGGTCAGTCAAGTTT